AGAGCTGGATCAGTTCCGCAGCAAGGCGTCCGGGAAACTGGCCTCGCGGCACCTTCACATCGACGGCGACGAACCACAGAAGAAGAAGCGGAAGCTGCCTGTCAAACCCAAGAAGGTGGTTGGAGTCATTGACCACTTCAAGCCCCAGGACCTGTCCGGGGTTTCCAAGGAGACGGACATGTTTGAGGATGTGGAGTTCTGCATCCTGAACGGCACTGAAGGTCACCCAAAGTCAGAGCTGGAGAAGGGCGTGGCCAGGTAAAATCACACGCTTCCCTCCCTCCATCCGTTTCTTCCTTTCTTCTTTCGTTCTGCCTTCCTTCCTTCCTTGCTTCCTTCTTTTCTTCCTTCCTTTCTTTACTTCATTCATTCTTTCTGTCTTTCTTTCCTTTTAACATTTAGTTTTTAAGTTTTTGGATTTGAACATTTAGTTTTTGGATACTTTTTAACAAATAATTGATTGTGCGGCCGTCTTGCTGCCAGGTGTGGCGGCATTGTGGTCCAGAACCCGGGACGGGACACCTACTGCGTGGTTGCCGGCGTGGAGAACATGCGCGTGAAGAACCTGATTTCCTCCAATCAGCACGACGTGGTCTGGGCGTCATGGCTGCTGGAGTGCCTGGATCAGAAGGAAGTGGTGCCGTGGCAACCGCGCCACATGATCCACATGTCGCCCTCGACCAGGGAACACTTCGCCAAGGAGTACGACAGCTACGGCGACAGCTACTTTGTCGATACGGACGAGCAGCAGTTGAGGGAAGTGTTCAGCAGGATCGACGGTGAGCAGGCGGCGGCGGCGGCCGTCAGCGCGGCGCAGGTGGAGGAGCGTTACGGCTGGGACGACCTCCGCACCAGCATGTTCAGACCCTTCACCTTTTACTTTGATATCTTGGATCCGAAAAGCGCAACAGGTGCTACCTGTCTGGACATCAGGGCGCTGGAGGTTCGATACCACGGAGGGACGGTGGCGAAGGCGCTGGAGGAAGGAGTTTCCCACGTCGTCGTCGAGGAAGAGACGAGACTCCTGGAGCTGAGGACGCTGAGGCGCCGCTTCAGGAAGAAGTTTAAGATCGTTAGAGACTCATGGGTGACCGACTCCATCGCGGCAGGGCATCTGATAGACGATGCCGACTACCTGGTTTGAAGCTACAGCATATTAGCAAAGTTTGCATTTTAGTTGATATTTTAACACAAAATCTTACCAAGTCATTTTTCATCGAGTTTCCAGTGGAAATACCTTAGTATAACACAAAACTAACGTATAAATAACTTTTAAGCAAGGTATAGGAGCTTATTTTAAGTAAATAATTCTTGAATATTGATGAAAAAGTAGATTATTTAACTTATGGGAAACATTTCTTGTTATGAGTTAAATAATATGACAGGGAAACGAGTATCTTGCTGAAAAGTTGCTTGTATGTTTTTTTAAATCTCATTTCAAAACTAGACAAAAATACTTGATAAGATTTCCAATCAGATTAGAAATAAAGGTAGAAATTAATTAGTTTTATTAATATACTTCTCAGGGTTTTAGCATAGTAAATGTTTTCTTCATGATTTGAAATTGAGCAGGTAATTATGTTTTTATCCAGTTTGAATCCATTTAGGAAATTTGAAGAGGACGTTTTACAGGATTTTATGCACATTTGAGTGTAAGGAAAATGATACACAGTGAAACACGGTGGCGGCACCATCATGCTGTGGGCAGGTTTATCTTTTTCAGTAGAGATGTGCCATGGTATGTACGGAACGAAATGCTGAACTCTGATAAACATTTTCATCTCTAATGCAGGAAACGGCTCCCCCACAGCATGATGCTGCCACCACCATGTTTTACTACATGTTGGTCTATTACATAAAAGTCTAAAATGATGCACTGAATATGCAATTTTATTATAGAAATGTGCACATAAATACTACATTCTTGGTGTTTTAGAGACACTATGTTCCAGCATCTACCTGTTTGCATTTTAGCTTTTTAAATTGAACTATTAAACTATTTTTATTTTATTACCGTAATGCTTGATTAATAATGGATTTGAATCCTATCCACCTGTAGGATTGAATGAGCATTAACACGATTTGTTTACAGTCAATAAAATTTTTGTTTTATTTCATCAGCATGTTTATTTGCTTATTTTTAACAGATAACCTCCAAGATAAATAGCTTTAAAGGTTTCAAATTACGTTGGATTTAAGTTTTGTTTTTTAATCAGAAAAAGAAAGCATTTTTATTGGAGCCGCAGCCTTTTTGATATATATGTAGGCATATGGTAGAGGATCTGTGATACTGTGTGAATCTTTCTCTTCTTTTCTAATTCTTATATTTCTAAAAAAGATGGATCCCCCTTTATGTAAATGTCTGCATTTTTCTAACTATCAGCCCTTTGAGTCGTAGCTCCAGAGAAGAATTACCCCGACCGCCACAGGGAGCTTTGCATCAGAGGTGCGGCCATGTTGTTTCTGTCTTCAGAAATCCCAGCAGTGCGTCTGGGGACTCGGTTATATGTTCTAACCTTCATCAGTGTCCCCTCTTCTGTGCAGGTAAGCGCCCTGTAGCTGCCCTGAGCGTTGTTGTGTGGAAATGCTGCGTGAATACATTTTCAACTGAGGTGTAAAATTCTTACAGTGGCAGTTTTATGTAAAATTGACTCTTTTTTTTAGCTTTAAATAATGTTATAATCATCAAAAACATACCTGGAGTGTTGTTTTGATTATTTCATGCACGTTTGAGAAATCATTTAATCCCCATGGCAACCATTCAGCTGTTCAAAACACCTGGGTGGACTTAGCCCCGCCTTCCAGACACAGCTCCTCCCCCACTGAGCTCCTGCAGACTAGCCAGCAGCAATTAGCAAACACCTGGTGGAACTGCGCATCTGTTGATCTCATTATGGGAGCTTTTATGAGTAAAAACATTAAAGGGTGGATATTGTCATGACATCCTGAAGAGCAGGAGTTATTAAAGAGACAGAGGCCCAATTTCAAGGCATTTAAATATGACCTAAAACTTTTTTTTAAGTCAATTTTATAACAGCTGATGTTAACATAGTTACTTGATTGTGCTATAAAACGGCACTATGTTCATAATTCTGCCCCTTTAAAGAATTAAAACAATACGTTTAAAGGAGCGGAGGAAAATTTGGTGCTTATAAAACATGTGGCCCACTAAGCACGCTGTAATCCATCGCCCACTCTGGACTATTTCTAGGTGATTCAGAGTGAGCGTTTGAGTGACAGGCTTTAATTAGAGGTACTCAACCAGTGCTTATTCCTGCGTGGAGTTGCAAGTGTGAAGCCTTGACCAGCCCAACTGTTGGCCGTCTGAACGAACTTCCAAGGAGACTTTATCGTTCTAAAGTAAGTGTGAACAAAAAGCTTAAGTGCTTTAAACCTTGGATATATGTTGAGTGTAAAGAAAGTGCTATATAAAGGCTTTTTTCCCTCATTGTCTGCCACTAAAATACATTGAGGTTTGCGGTTGTAACTTGATAAAATATGGAAAAGTTTAACAGGTAGTTAATTTGAGATGGTTTTGCGGAATTTCAGAGGAATAGATTTGGTAATATGTCTAAAAAAAAAAAGAGCCAGGTGTGGAGCAACCTGCTGTTAAGACAGCCGCCATATCCTGCTGAACTGCATCTGCTGGTACAATATTACAAAATAAAACAACTCTCATGAACTCCTCCTCAAGGCAAATGGCTTCTGTGCGCTCTTTATTTGGCCCCTGCTTGATTTCAAGCTTCCCAGCATTTTCTTCTTGTCTTAATTTTCTCTCCCCCGTGGCTCTGAACAGGGAAGCTCATAAAAAACTGGTTTTAATGCGAAGTTTAAGCTCCAGTCTTCGTGGGAACATTTTAGCGCAGTCGCTCTGACTTGATGCGCCCTTGAACGACGGTTGCAACGGCTGCTGTGCGCGCGCATAACGTCAGAGTTGGAGAAGCTTCGTCAGGTTCACGAGATTACTGGGGGAAGATAACGGATATCAGGCGGCAAGACCTTCAAAATAAAACAAAGCAATGAGACTGAAAAGCACAGGTTGTCCTTACGTGTGAAATTTGAAAATTTGAGCAACTATAAAACATTCGAGAAAATTCGGTTTGCATATTTCATTATGACCGTAATGTGTAGCACTGTTATGGTTAGCCTAGCTACATCATCAACACTTTAAACTGAGCCGGGTAAAGAAAGGTGCATTCAATTTCCGTTGGAAATTAGAAAGTCTTTTTCTAAAACCGTTTAAATTTTCAGTCATACTGTTTACAGAAAACTGTATATTTTTAAATATACAGTTTAAAAATACTGCATTTTTGTAAATGCAGTTTTTGTTTACCTTTGGACTAAACTGAAATTGTTTTCAAAATTTACACTTTTAATATTTTTAAGATTTAGTAATTAATTATCAGCTAATCTTAGTTAATTAAAATCCGTTTTACTCTTTAAAAACTTTTACTTTTAAATAATACACTAACTCTTTAAAGAGCAGGGACAAATGGCTTTGGGGGGTTTTTTCTTTTAACTTTCATAGCTATAGTCAAATAATTTTAAGCTGAGTTTTATGCACATCATCTATGTTTGTCATAGCAGTAGGATTCTTGATTGTTTGTCATTTTGTTTGCCAATTCACTGTAACTAGTACTTCCTGAAGAAGACTATCAAAATATAAGGAAACTTGGGAAAGTATTTTTTCTTTTAAAGAAGAAGCACAGTTTAGATTTTTATGTATGTGTGCATTTAAAAGATATAATTTGAAACATGGTGGCAGCATCTTGCTTTGGAAATGCCATAGTGCCTATAAAAAGTATTCACTACCATGTTTTACTTTCTTGCTGCTTTTACAAATAAATCATAATCAACAAAATTTTGGATTGAGGTCTGGTCTTGTTTTATTAAAAAATATAAAAAGTTATTAACCCTACATTAATGTTTATTAAATATGGTAGGGCCAAAGTCAATAATAAAAAAGAAAAATAAATGAATGTTTATATTTTTTGCTCAAGGAACATAATAACTATCAAGAGTCGAGACAAGAATATATACAATATACGATAAAATAAAATGACCCCAAATGTAGCCCCAAAACAGAAAATAAAATAAACAGCAACTTGCGAAATCTTATTGTGAAATTTACAACCGGAAGTAAGGCTACGTGTCGTGGCCGAGTTGACGCAGGATGCTGCAAACACACACCGTCTCTTGGCGGACATGGCGGCAACTTGATGAAGACGGCGAGGGCTTGAAAAAGAAAAAAAGACGTCTGTAGCAGGCTGTAGCTAGGCCCCATCGCGCTGACACAAAAAGGCAACAGTCCTTCGCCATGTTGGAAGACGATAGCGCCCTTGTCCGCGCACGACCGAGGCCGGGGAAAACGTAAGCGCGTCAGTGAGTGTTTCTAAAAGCGGAGTCGCGGCTACGCAGAGGAGCGGAGCGGCGCCGCGCGGCAGCTCGGGGCGGACGGGAGGACAGCCATGGAGGATGCGGCCCGCGGTCGCAGGAGTCTGATTTCCCACCCGGCCCACGCTCCTTTGGATGGGAATTTCCGCTGAGCGCGACGGAAAGCCGGGACAACCCACTAGCCGACTCTTAAGGGGAGGAAAACGCGATCGGCTCCCGACGTCCATGACTGTTGCGGCAGAGGAGCCCCCACGGTGGAGTCGGCCGGTTCCCAAAATATGACCAGGGGTGCTGGGACGTGTTGGCAGCAAGAAGACGACGACGGCTTCCAAATCTGGCTCGAGCCCCCTCGCGACCACCAAAAGCCATTCACCGACTCTGAGAGGGCGCAGAGATGGCGACTGTCCTTGGCATCTCTCCTGTTCCTCACCGTCCTCCTCTCTGATCGCCTGTGGTTCTGCGCCGAGGCCAGGCTGGCCCGAACCCCGGACAAGTTCGCGTCCTCCCACCTCCGCTCCCCCCACACCCACTCGGTGCACATCAACCTCACAGAGAACCCCCACGCTATTTTTCTAGGAAACTCCACCAAACATCTGTGTCGCCTCGAAACTCGCCACCGGGACAGTTCGTCCGGCAACTGCTTCGCCTTCGCGGATGCGGACGACCTGTGCCGCGGCCTCTCCGACAAGCAGGGCCCGCGGGTCGCTAACATGAGCGACTTGTACCTGTCCTTTTGTAACTCCTACTCCCTGCTGGACCTGTTTGACGGCTCGGCGAGCCCGGACAACCTGAACTGCAGCGTCCGGGCGCTGGAGGACGGCGACGCGACGCGATGCGGCGAGTGCGTCCAGGCGTACCAGCGCTACGACCAGCACGCCCAGGAGAAATACGAGGACTTTGAGCTCCTGACGGAGAAATACGAGCCGGGGGCTTATTCGGTGAGGACATGCATGGAGCAGTGCAAGGTAGGTGGAGGGGAGGGGATGGAGGAGGAGGGGGTGATGTGGTGGCCATCTGTTGATTTGGGCCCGGATAGATGCCAGTTTTGGTCCTCCTGCTCCTGTCGCCATGGAGACGGGTGTCAGATCCAAGGAGACTCCCGGTCTCATTCATCTCCTCATTGTATTTAGTGCAGATGGAGGCCCCGCTAGTGAATCCCTTATTTTTTATTTTATTTTTAGCGCATAATCTGCAATCGGCCTCAACCTATACAATAAGGCTGATAGCTTCTGCAAACATCCTCTGAGCCCTGTGTGTGTGTGTGTGTGTGTGTGTGTGTGTGTGTGTGTGTGTGTGTGTGTGTGTTGTCGCAGTCCGACAGGTGTTCACCGTGGCCGCCCTACTCCACATCGAGTGCAGTTTCATTAAAGTCAAGAGGTGGTTTCCCTGCCTAATGTGCCGGAAGTCCCTTTTTTTTATGTGTGTTTGCACATCAGCAGGCCGCTCGTCTCTTCTGGGTTTGTTTGATTTGCCTGCAGCTCAGTTCAGCACCGCGGACAGCGCCGAGCTGTTTCTTCTTCTTTTTCTTCTTCTTCTTCTTCTTTTTCTTCTTCTTCTTCTTCTTCTTCTTCTTCTCCTTCTTCTCCTTCTTCTGCTGAATGGCGCTACACCGGCTCCATTCACAGAAGCCCTGGCCAATCCCAGATGGCCTCCATTCACCCAACTAGTAACAGACTCACATTGCATTGGCGGAAAAACTAAAGAAACCCCCAAAAAACTACCAGATTATCTGCCTTTATTTTTATACTGTTTAGTTTTTCGCATCTTTAGGATATAATGCGTTGCAAAAAGTATTCCTATCCATTAAAATAAGACATTTTAGCATATTGTAACTCTAATATTTCATTTATTTAATTGGGATTTTATGAATTAGACCAACGCAAAGTAGTGGATAATTGTAAAGTGGAAAGGAAATGACACATGCAGATTGGATGGAAAGAATCAGTTTTTAAGTCTTGGCACAGATACCCCCTTGCAATTCATCTGGACTTTGACTAGACCATCATAACACTGATCCAACTCTATTTACATGTTTGTTTTTAGAGGATGAGTTTCTTCTTTCCATCATAATCTCTGTTTTCCTGAACTTGATTTCATGTTTTCATCCTCCAACGGCCTCGGATCCGTTCTCAAGGCGCTCACCCCCTTGGCATTTGTAGGGAAAACAATCATTTAGTCATGCTGCTAATTTCCTTAACAGTGACCATTATCCTTCACCTTTGTTGATTATAGGTTTTCTTCGGGCCTTTTATGTGTTACAGAAAGAGCAGCATGACTCAAACGATAATGTGGCGCTCTGGTGGAGTTAATGGCTACCTGCCTTGGAGAGGGTGAGCGGTTTAAGTTGACGGATTCGTGCGTTTTCCCTGTGAGATCAGAACCCCCTCGACCCTCCGACCCCCCACCTGCCGAGCTGCAAAGTGTGAGAACATTAAAGAAACGGATCCGCGCCGTATTGTCTCGCTCACAGGAAGCGTTTGCCAGGGAGACGATCCCTGACATTTTTGAGTCGTTTCGTTAAACGGGAGCATCTCCGGCAGTCCGCAGGTGGTGCTTTGATTCCTCTAGCCTCAGGTGAAGCATCACACGGCGAACACGGCCGGCGTTTGCGGCTCCTCGCAATGGGATCCTCCATCATCTGACTCTCTGGAAGCCCCCCATTCACTCATTCACTCATTCATGCTGACAGAACATTGGAAAAAGCAGAAGTAGGTAACGACTCACAGCGTCAGAAAACAATGAAGCTTCTGACGTTAACAAAGCCGGCCACCATTGAGGCTTTTTGAAAAAGAAACATTATTTTTGCGATTTCCCAAACAGATAAAACGGATGTAATATTTCAGACATTAAATTCTGATTAAAGTACTCTTACACCATGAACTTTTGCACTTTTACGGTCATAAAGTCAGATTTTTACCAGAAAAAATCTGAAAAGTATGCCCTACATTTGTAATAAATATGTTTTATTAAGGTACTTCTAAATAAAAGTCACTTTATCATTTAAAATAAACTCCATTCAAACTATTCAGGGTCAAGTTTTGCTTTAACATTGATTGTAAATCAATACTTGTTGAAGTATTTTGTTTGGTTGTTTTTAAATTATGAAGAATACGGTTTTTGGTGTCTGTTAAAAATTAAAATGACTTTTAAAGTTGTCGATGTAAGTTTAGTTCACGTTTATCCTCGATTAATCTCCATATTATCTTCTGAATAAAGATAATAATCTTTAGAACCGAATCATGTAGTCGGATCATGAAACATGAATTATTTCCACAGAAAATATGAAAAAGTTTGTTGAAAATATTTAGTTTCTCCAGCTAACTGAAGTAAATTTCTAGTTGTCTTTTTAGTTTGTATGGAACCTTTATAAACTGAAGTTGGGTTTGTGTTTGAATGGGAAAAAATTTCCTTAAAGTCATAATGAATGTGAAGCTAACACATTTTAATTTCTACAAGATTGAACATAAAGACATAATAAAATATGATCTAGTCTTTGTTACATTGTAAAATGATTGAACACTTACCACACGTAATCATAAACATTCATTTTGCTAACGCTAAAGCGCTGCACCAACATGCTATTTAGCATAAGCTAGTGCTAATGCATTAACTGCAGTTCAAATTACATCACTATGAGCACTAATTTAATTTTGTTCTGTAATGCCCTTAGATATTGTATTATGTTTATGTATATTTATGTTCTTTATTGCCCATGTTTCTTTGTTTTGAAATAAGTTATTGTGGAAAAAGAGAGAAAATTAGGAGAGGAAATAGAGATACCCTCTTCAAAATAAGAGCATGACGTTTAACTACTAAAGCACAGATGTCAAACTTTATTCAGCTGAAAGCTTACAGAACAGTTAAGTAATTTATCTGCAAAAATTAAGCTAAGTGTGCTAAATGTTTTCAAAGTTAGCAAAAACGCTGTTGGCGCATTAGTGAAAGTTTACCCACCACTTCAAATTACACATCTTGTTTGTTTAATTAAATAAATGAAGCCATATGGAAAAATTGTGTGTGGAAAAACTTTATTTGGTTGCAAATTTTAATTTAAGCCACTAGATGTCACTATAAATACCCAATTAATATTTAGTTTTTAGCCAAAATATAAAGTACACTTTAAAGGCAGGGGCTGCTTATATTTTGCATTTTGACTTATTTTGCTGTTGTCCAGGTAGTTTATATTGAAAAACATGAAGTAATTTTATATTTTTTGTAGAAAACAGACCTCAGGAAGTTGTATAACTGTCTGCGGCTACAGAAAATCCTCCAGCTGTCTCTTGGCTACCCCCACAGAGTAGCCAGGCGCAGTTTCTGTCAAAATGTCTACGTAGGATGGGAAAATTGCAGATCACTCAACAGTCTGCCTTGTTTGTTGTAATTACTGTAATAATAATGATCTGAAATGATGCAAAAAAGTCACCTTTTTAATCAAATAAAACCTACTTGTCCCCGGGAAAGACCCCCCAGCTGCCCTGAAAGCCCATGTCTTCATTTCGGATCTCTCCAGGAGGAAAATGTCTCGGCGCCCGCCCAACATTATCTCTGCACGAGACCAAAATATCCGCACTTTTTCCTAACTCATAATTATTTGACAAGAATAATGAACTGGCAGTGCAGCTGTCTGCACCCCGGATCCTCCCTGGTAATTTTACTCATTTGTGGATTTCAAAGGCACCTGCATGACTAAGTAGTCACAGAGTCGGAGGAACTCAGCGGCTTTTATCTGCCTGCTTCTCCTGAAACCTTTTTTTTTTTTTCCCCTCCCCTGCATGTTCCTGCTACTTCTGACCCCGCTTTCACTGCATCAGTACTCCAATCCCTTGCTCCGCACGCTCTTGATATCAAACTGAAACACTGATCTTAGCCAGCGATGCGCTTAAGTGAGAAGGAGGACATAAGCCGCGGCGTCCTACGGCTCTAGATCCTTGTCAACCACACACATCGGCATTGATCTCAGCTCTTTACTGAGGGATGGGCAGTGGCGATACCAGGAAGTTGATCTCTATTGATTCACACTGAGCACTCTGTGTTTTCTCGTCCTTTATTTGATAGTAGGCAGCTCCTGCGACCCAAATAGGGCGAGTGGCTGAGCGGCGATGTCTCTATCCGAGCCTGTCTGACTGTACCACATGACCTGTTTACGGATTTTTGCTAATCTCTTCCACGGTCTTGAGATTTTATGGGTTTTGTTACAACCAGAAACTGCAATTTTAGTCTTTTTAGTATCTTGCGTGACCCTTAACCTCCTGTCCCCATGGTGATACAGCGACGGTAGCATCATGAAAAAAATTAATTCCTACAAACTCCGGAGGAACCAAGTGGCTTTAAAAGTTGCCTTAATAGTAAATATACATTCCAAATGTGAATATTACTATTTTTCACATCAGTGCTTGTTGAACAGTGAATATCAGGAGGTAATTAACACAGGTTTTTATGCTGTTTTATAGCTAATCTTATTCTTTATGGAGTTTTATATCACTAATGTCCCACTCTGGGTAGAATATTACCAATAAACAGTAATATTCAGTAATATAATTAGTTATTACCCCCGATTACCAACCTCCTGCTGTCATATCCAGGTACATTATTTCTACTTTGAGTGTTTTCACATCTTTAATGTCTGATATGTTTGGCCTGGCTCTGTGTTGTTGTGGTATTGAGCCCTGAATGCTTTCACCAGTGTCTGGCCTCAGTTGGCCAGCATTAAACATTTACAAGCTGGGGGACATAATGGAGCATTAAGCAGCCAGAGAGACACCTAGTTTTGCTAAAAGGAGAGCAAGTATTTCATTTACATTCATCAGAAACCTCAGAGGAATACAAATGCGGTTTGGTTGGAAACCGATGATTACCTTTGTAAATCTTTAGGGACTGTGTTTATAAAATGATCTGCTGCCAAACTGTTGGGGTATCTCTGAAATCTTCTCGTTCGGTGATGGTTCAGGAGTTGCTCTGCGTTGCC